ACACTAGGCCTACATTCCCATATTGCAATAATTAGCTGGGTGTAGCATTAATTGTGCATTTTAATCACAGCATGGCCTCCCCAGTTCACAAGGAACACATTTAGCAGGTTCTTTCATCTTTTTGTTTACTCAGATAGGTCTAGGTGCTCGCCCTACCCCACAGCCCACCAAAGTGGTCAAAGTTCATCATGAGAACTCACCAGGTCTGCCTTTGCCCAGACCCTCAAATTGGCCCCCTCTGTGCTCCCATCTACCCCAAATGGGAGTGGACAATAGCCCTTGGCAACCTCCTAGATACTCTGATCCATCTGGCAGTCCCAAACCTTGGGGATTCCCTTTGTTGGGCAGGAGCCCAGGTGCTCCTCCTACAGTGATTCTCCCTTGCAGAATGTGTCAAGCCCTGGCAGGGCTCAACACAGCTGAGAAGTGACAGACTCCCATCCCCTCCTATCACAGTTTGGGGCCTTGCACAAAAGCTGCCTTCAGGAATTGCTCAGGTCTTGCACCACTCTATCCTGCTACAGCTGCAGCCTAGTGCCCCTGATGTGGCAATTCTTGAAAGACTTGCAGCCCTCCATACGGCCTCACTCCAGCCTTGGACAGCAACAGGTAAGAGCCTGAGATGGGAATGATGACGAGGTGTACTTCTCCCCCATAAACTTAAAACCCAGTGAATCAAAACCCATCCTCTCCACCTCCACAATCAAAGGGCCCTGAGACAGAGTAGGCAGAGATCAGAAACTGGGAGGAGAGGATTTGATGTGTAAAACAGACAGACAAAGTAGCATGTTTTGCTATCATTTATTTGCTATGTGGTATGTACCCAAAGCATAAGTCAGGTCTGGTGGCCTTCCCTCTGATCCCAGGAGAAAGGGCAGGCAAGGAGAGCCCAAGGAGAAGCTACCCCATCATGGGGAAATTGTGGGGGCTGACAAAGGCAGGGGGAGTCTTGGGCATCCTGCTCTGACTTCTAGCAAGTTCTGCCTTCAGCCATGAGGGGCTTCCTACCCCCCATCGGTCCCAGGTGCAGCAGGAAGAGGGGAGGGGAGGAGAAAACAGGAACATGACTCGGTGCTGGATGGAGGCATCTTTGCTCTGCAAAGCTATTTGGCCCTGGCTGTGACTACAGGAAAAATTGGGTGCAGGTGGCTGGGCCAAGAGCTGTGGAATGGAGTACTCAGTAGGCATGGTTGGCAATGTAAAGGGACTGTGCTGCTGCTCCTCCATCTTCTCCACTGCCTTCATACTTGCCCTGGGCTGCAAGCCCATTCACCTGCAAAAGTGAGGGAAGGGAAGGTGTAAGCAGGCCGAGCCAGCCTGCAGATGCCAAAGGCTGTAGTCTTTGGATGCTACCCCCTGTCTAGCACTACCACCCCCAACCACCACCCCTAGCTCCCAACCTCAGCCCGCTTGATGAACTCCTCAGTGGCAGCCCCAGCATTGTCCCTTTGCCCTCGCCAGGCATTGAGTGCAGAGGCCTGCAGGGCACGCCCATAGGAGAAGGTGAGGGCCCAAGGCTTCGGAAGGGGGCAGCGATTGATAGCATTGAGGTTGAGTGATGCCTCCTCTTCACTCTGACCCCCAGACAGGAAGGTCACTCCTACAGAGAAAACAAACTGATTAGTCACTCCCTGTTTTTCCAGGGTAAGGGACCCTGAAGGCACAGGAAGAACCTGAGGATGGTCTAAGGACAGGAGTAGGTCAGGAAGCAGGGTGGTACCTGGGACAGCTGGGGGCACAGTGCGACGCAGGGCAGTGACAGTTGCCATGGCAACCTCCTCTGGGCTATACTTGATGGGACAGGCATGTCCAGGGGTGACCATGTTGGGCTTCAGCAGGGTCCCTTCCAGGTACACATGATGGTCACTCAGAGCCTTATACACAGCAGCCAGGACCTGAGGATCAGAGGAGGTTTACTAAGGCCTGGTCCCTGCCACTTACTGCTCTATGCTCCCTGTCTAGAGGTGGGTGGGCATGACTGTGAGGGTCAGTATAGGCTCAGGCTCACAGGTCTATTCTAGGATCAAGTGAAAAAGTGCTTGGGGAAAGTGCCTGCATCTGAACCAGGGACTGTGGCAAACAAGCTTCCATCAGGCTGTCCCTGTGGTATGTGTCTATGCCCAGGTGAGGATTTACCTTCTCTGTGACATACTGGCAACGTCTGAGGTCATGGTCTCCATCAGGCAGGATTTCAGGTTCCACGATAGGCACAATGCCATTCTGCAGGTAAGAGAAGAGTAGCTTGGCAGGGGCAATAGGGAAGATGGGAGAAAGTTCTCTCTCCAACAGGCACAGGGCACCAATCTGAACCCCTCATGCATGCATACACACACCTGCTGGCAGATGCTGGCATAGCGGGCCAGCACACTGGCATTCTCCAGAATGGCAAGTGCTGAGGGTGTGCGCTCACTGATTTTCAGCACACAGCGCCACTTGGCGAAGTCAGCACCATCCTTCTTGTACTGAGCACAGCGTTCAGAGAGTCCATCCAGCCCTGCAGGCATATTGCCAGTCTCATCACTCTGCCCCTCTTTGCCAGCATCAACCACCCCCCAACCCTGTGGTCCTGAAGTCTACCCATCCTGTACCTTGAGTGGTAGTTTCTCCGTCAGTCCCAGCTAGAGGGACTACACCTTTGTCAACCTGAAGCGAAAACACAGGCAGAAGGTTGAACCCAGGCAGGATTCCCCTTGCCACCTATTTCACACACACACACCTATTTCCATGCTCAATCCCCATCCAGGGTCAGTGGCTGCACCTTGATGCCAACGACAATGCCCTTATCCTGGATGGTACGGACGAAGGGGACACCATTATCATCTTTCTGGTAAAGTGTCTCATGAAAGAAGATGACACCTCCAATGCACTTCTTCACACGGTCATCAGCACTGAACAGGACCTGGCGGTACAAACGGCGGTTCTCCTCTGTGTTTTCCACCCCAATTTGGCTCAGCCGCTTGGCCATGCTGCCTGGGGGCAAACAAAGAGGGGTAACAAGGTGATCCCCAGGGCTTCCTGGCCACCTTTACCCTACCCAACCACAGGCCCCCACCTACCTACAGACTCATCTGCGGCCAGGATGCCTTTGCCTGGTGCCACAATCCGGAGAGCAATGTCAGATAACTCCTTTTTCTGCTCAGCAGAAAGGGCTGGGTATGAATGGGGCATGGTGACAGCTCTGTGGAATGGAGACAAAATATAAAAGCCGTACCCCCACCTACTACCTCCTCCGCTTCCTCTCCTGGCCATATGGGCCAAATGGCCCTCCCTCCACCCCCCCAATAAGCATGGGGCTGGGAACAGGGCAGCAGTCCTTGGCATGGGTCCTGGGCATCAAAGTGGCACCAATTTTTTTGACAGCTAGCAGGCTTAGGGCCCCAGTTCCCACATCTCCTTTTGTCCCTGATGGGCACCCTTCCCAGCCCTGGAGAAAGATGCATGGTGGGGGTGGGGAGTTAAGCAGACTTGAATCTACAGGTCTTATGAAACCTGTCCAAATGAAGATGCCAATCCTTCTCTCGTTAAATTTGGCCCCTTCTTCAGGTAGGCATAACCCCTGACCTTTCCAACTTCCCTTTTCTCATCCTCAGTAGGACCCCTAGGGAAAGTGCACTTACTTTTAAGCCTTCAAAATATGGCAAAAAGGACCCATCACCCTTCTTCCCTTGGCTTGTGGACGAAAAGGTTGGGAGGAGGGGGGCAGGTAGGGAGTAGGACTGGCAGGCTTCTATAACCTGTTTTCCATACCCAAACCGGACTACCTCTGCAGGCAGGAGATGGGAGCAGAGGGTCAAAATTGAAATAAATGAGTAAAAAGGCTAAGAAAGGGAGGGAGAAGGCAGATTTGTTGGGTGGTGACAGTGAGACAGGCTAACTAGTAAGGGGGAAGGATCTAGACCAGCGGGACAGAGAAGGCAAAAGAACTGTAGAGGGAACTTAGCCAAGGAGAGGGAGCAGATGAAATTAAAATGGTCTTGGTGGAAGAGGCTGACCCCATGAAAAAAAACAATAAGCAGAGGAAGACTTGGGATTGGAAAAGCTGAGGTCCCAGTGTAAGAACTGAGAGGAAGGGGTGTTGTGGGAGGTCTGAACCATGGGATTTAGAGTGGACAGAAAGGACAGAGGTTGTAAGGAGAGAGCTGAGAGGGCCACAGGGAGCAGGGCAAGGATGGCAGGGGGAAGAGTCAAGAACAAGAAGCAGAGATGCTGAGCAGCTCCCGCCTTGCCCCAGCCTCACCTGTGAGCAGCGAGTTAGCGGTGGCAGCACAGTTAACAGCCTGGGTCCAGGTCTGAAACAGCTGTGGCTTCAGCCCTGGCTCCTGTAAATGAGGCTGAGGATGCCGCAGAGCTACGTGACTCCCCCAGGGGGCGGGGCGTCACCTCCCGCCCAGGCCCCGCCCCTCCCTAGGACTGGTGTCCTGGCAAGGCCACGCCCACGGAGGCGGGGCAACGAGGTGGAGTGACTGCCCTGCCAGAACCTGGAGGCTGCCGTGGACCGTCCCCCTCCCACTTGGTGGAACCCTGCCACCAGGGCCCCGGAGGCAGGAAATGGCCTTGCCCTCATTTCTGCCACAATTGCTTTTACCATGTGCTGGGCACTGTGCTGAATGGGGATTAAGCAGAGGTCTGGTGAAGGAGAGTCACCTAAACAGTCACAACAGGTGGGTAGGCAGAAGAGAGGCATCAACAAAGTGTGGGAGTCCAGGCCAGGGAGTAAGAAACTGAGTTTCTCTGTCCTAACCCCTTTATTCACCATGGCCTACTGGAGAATGAAGCCTTGTCTGTCCCCCATCCCCACCCCCCAGGCTGTGAGCCAGGGAACAAGCAGTCCAGTGCCCAGCACATTTGGGGAAGCCAGGGAAGCGAGGAAGGGCAGGCTTTGGCCCTGGATGTAGCAGGAGGGGGTGAGTGGAGGTTGCCCAGGCAGGAAGGCCAAGCTGCTTCTCCCCTGACTTTAGCTACCCCCTCTCACCCAAGAAACAAGATTCAGTGAACTTGAAGAAACATATTAAATATACTTTATTTAAATAGCATTAAACCCAGCTGGCTCTATGCCAATTGGTCCTGGTGTTGGGGTAGGGGAGTATTATAGGTAAAGACGGGGTAAAACAGACTCCAGCTTTTCATTTCTTAGCTTAGAAATTCCAGCAATTCCTGTAGCTCCTTGCAACCCCTCACGACCTCTGGGATGGACAGCAGAGTCTGGGAAGAGAGAGAGAGAAAAGGCAGTTCCGAGTTACAGCCCCAGGAAGCACCCACCGAGTTAGAGGGACAAAAACGGAAGCCACAGAGAAGCCTGCAACATTACCTTAATTGAACCCCCTCCCTCCTTTACCTCGTAAATATGCTGAACAACGTCATCTAGTTTCTTTAACTCCTTGTCAGAGCGCCGAAGATTCTCCTCCAAAATGTTTCTCTAGAAAGCAAATAAGCTGATAAGCTCAGTGCTTAAAAGAATAGCATACATAGCTTGTGGGGCAAGGAAAATATGACAGGGTACTTGCTAGTGGTGGTGAGAAATGGCCCCCCAATGGCATGGGACTTCTTACATGGCTCTGGAACTTGACCATGAGTTTTTCCTTCTCATTTTTCATCTCCAGGAACATCACCCGCAGTTTATCCACCTGTAGATACGTCCAGATCAGTAGGGGCACAGCCTAAGGTTCCCACGAAATGCCCACTTCCTCTGTTAACTCTGTCACCTCCTGGGAAAGCCACACTTTCTCCTGGATCCAGTTAGTGGCCATGGGCTGAGAGCTGGGGTCCAGCTGGCCTGCCAGGGTCTCTTGGAGCACCTTAGTCTCTGTCTCCGCACGCCGAAGTGAGCGGGTAAGCTGGGTCACCTCCTCTCTAAGACTCTGGGGGTGAGAATAGAGAGGTATCCAGTAGGCCTCAAAGGTCCTCTCCATCATTCTTTTTTTAAATATGTTTTTATTGACTTCAGAGAGAGAAAGGGAGAGGAAGAGAGAGATAGAAACATCAATGATAAGAGTCATTGATCAGCTGCCTCCTGCATGCCCACCCCACCCCCAATGGGGATTGAGCCCGCAACCTGGGCATGTACCCTGACTGGAATCGAACCGTGACCTCCTGGTTCATAGGTCAACACTCAACAACTGAGAAGCCAGCCAGCCAGGCCTCTCCATCATTCTTATCCCATGCTGTGAACAGGTAGATCAGGGGATTCAATTCCCACATTTGGGATCCTGGCTACCAGTGACACAGAAGGCAGAGGACTGGGCATTATGATGAACATACTATGAGCTCGCCACTCTTGTCTATTTGCTCTAAAATCTTCTCGTTCTGCTGCTGTATCACTTCCTGGAGCTCCTTTTCATTCTGTGAGGGAAAGGGAGGTAAGAAGGCACTGAGAGAGCTAGCTTCTTTGCAGCCCTTGCCAGGAGATAGGATTTAGTGCCTGACCCATGCTCAGCCCAGGTTGCTACCAAGTGATAACGCTCTTCTTCCTCTAGGGCTAAGTCAGGCAACGCACACCTCAGTGGTGAGAGAGCTCTGCTAGAGTTCCCGACTTCTAGGTCAGCCTGGGAGATCGGTCAGCCCATAGCTGATTCCCAAACATGTGAAATGTCTGACCCCAGGAAGGGCAAAACTAGGGCAGTGGTTGGAAAATCCCCACCACCCAGATTCCCAGAGAGACAGTGGTTCCCAGTGGGCCAGTACAGCTGCCCCAGTTCTCCATCGCCCCACTTCTAGGCCCCTCCTTCACCTTGTAGCGCAAGCACAAGGCCTGGTTCAACTTCTCTATGTCCGCTTCCTTTGCCTTCTGGGCTTCCTGATGCTGTTCTTCCTGGGCCTGCAGCCTAGCCTGCAGATCACAACTTAGGGGAGAGAATTCAGCATTATTCCTGTGCTCTGGAGGGCTAGCTGGGCCCTTGATGGAAGGGGCTGACCTCTCTCACCAAGACTGCACTCCACTCACATCTTTTGCTGCAGAGTCCTGACAGCTTCTTCTTTAGAGTCTTGCAGCAGGGAACACAGGCTCTGAAGCTCCAGAGTCATAGTACTCATTTCTTCCAGGCTCTTCTCCATGCCTGGGGTCTCTGAAAGAGAAAGTCCTAGATAGAGGTAGAGCCCTTTTACTCTGGAAGGAGTATGTAGCCATTATTTCCACAACTTTTACCCATGTTCCCCACCCACAGGATTTGAGTGTCTAGAACATTACAGGTCCCAAAAGACAAATAAAATGAGCCCAAGTAGAATTGAGGTTTTTAGAGCAAAGCACTTTTCACTGCTTTTGTCTTTATCATCACTACTTGATCTAGAAATGAGGCAGGATCCCTGGAGCCCATCCTAACCTGTAGGCTGAAGGGAAACCACTGATGCAACTCGGGTGAAAGCACTCTTGTCACTTCCAAGCAAGGACACAGGAGCTGATTCTGGCTCTAAAACAAAAACCAACCATGGTAGAGGGCCCCTCTGGTGATCCAGTCAAGGATCTGCCATAATGGAAGCAAGGGAGAGGTCTGTTGGTGGGCATCTTTAACAGCTGAAGATATTAGCAGGGTCAAAATTTTCCCACCCCTAAATTCCAGGGCCTTTAACCTTTGTCTGCCATTGCTGTCAAGATGCTTCCCAAGAAGGTGCTGTCTGTGGGTGGAAGGTGTTCCTGGGCAGAAGCACAGGCTGTGCTTTTCAGGAGAGTATCCGGCTCAGGCTAAGGGCAAATGACAACAAAGCATCAGCTGCTTTTCAGGGTTAGTGATTTCCGTGAACTCCCAGGTACTCCCAGGTGGCTTTTTGTAAAGACACCTCTGGAATGCTGTTCTCTCTTCTCTATCTTCAACTTCTCCCTTATCTCCTTTCCCTGAACGTAATTCTCTCTCACTAAAGCAACATTTTTCCTTAAATAAACCTTCTTTTTACCTTAAATCCCCTACATTTCTTGCCTAAAACTCTCACCATCTATTGACTCCCCAGCTCACTACACTCAGGCTTCTGACACACTAATCTACCAGAATTCTCATAATTTCATTCAATGGCATCCTTACTTTCAAATGTAATAGACACTTTTCAGCTTTTATTTTACCTGACCTATTTGGTAATTGATGACCACGTTCTTTAGAAACTTCCTTTTCTTAGCTTCTGGGACATGACTCTCTCTCCTTCATAGGTAGGCCTCATACCTTTCTGGATATTCTCTCTATAATTGTTGGGCTCCTTCTGGTTAAGATTTGGCCCTCTTTACACTCTAATCCATTCCCCAGGTCTCCTCACCTCAGGAGCTCCACAAAAATATCCACTTCTAAATGGATAACCCTTCAATCTGTCTCAACTGGATTTTTTCCCCAATCTCCAGAATTAGAGGCTCAACTGCCTGTGAAAAATCTACCAGAATGTGCCGTAGTTCACCTGAAATTTAGTATGTATAAAGTTGAGCTCACCATTTTCCCTGTCCCACCCCACCAAAAATCTGTTCCTTTTTTATTCATGATCCTAGAGCAGGGGGCAGCACTGTTTGCAGCTTAAATCTGGCCTGCCACCTGTTTTTGTAAAGTTTTATTGGACCACATCCACATCCATTCATTTACATACTGTCTATGGCTGCTCTTGAGCTACAAAGGCAAAGTTGAGTAGTTAAGACACAGACCACTTGGCTCGCAAAGCTGAAAATATTTATTACATTTCACTTTATAGGAAAAGTTTGCCCACCCCAGTTCTAGAGTGTCACCATCTTTCCAGCCGTCTAGACATCAGCATTCACTCTTCCACCTTACTCCTACAATTGGTCATAAGGTTCTATTACTTCTACTTCCTAAATATGTATACAATTGGAAAACCTCAGTAAACTAGGAATAGAGGGGAACTTCCTCAACTTGATAAAAAATAGCTACAAAAAAATCTACAGCTAACATCATACTTAATGGTAAGAAACTCGAAGCTTCCCTTTAACATCAGGGTAAAAGCAAGGATGTCCCCCCTCACCACTCCTTTTCAACATCATAGTGAGAGTTCTAATGAATGCAGTAAAATAAGAAAAGGAAATAAGAGAGATGTAGATTGGAAAGGAAGAAATGAATCCGTGTTTGTTCAAAGATATGACTGGAAGGGAAGAGAAAGACCTCCAGATCCTACCTTCTCCTTTAGTTTCGTGTGCAGGAAGAGGGTCAGGCTCTGTAGCTGCTCAGTTAGCACCTTTAGCTCTTGGGAATACTGGCATGTCTTCTCCAGGTCTTTCTCCCGATTCTCTGCTATGGTGCTAGCCAGTTTAGCCCTGAAATAGGCAAGGAAGAGAGAGACCATGTGACTTTCCCTGAACACCTCTCCTAAATCCCATACAGAAGTGCATTCAAAAAGGGAAACAAAAGGCTCTTGGACCCTGTCACAGTTCTGTCCTTGGAGACTTTAGCTTCTAGAAAGGCTCCTGAGAAAGATAAGCACTTAGGAGGGAAAGCAAAGAAAGGTAGAGATCTTACTTCAGGTTCTCTACAGTGTCCTTGAGGTCCTCACACTGCAGGCTGCGCTCCCGTAGCACTTCCAGTGTGGTTTTCAACTGACACTCAACCTGGCCCAGCTCCAAGTGAGCTACCTGATTCTCTTGATCTGCAAACTGGGGAGACCGGAGAAGGAAGAAAGGAAAGGAGCAAGAAAAGGAGGGGGGAAATGAATCTCGGTGGGAAATGTTAGAGCCCTGGGAACAGAGGCTTTTTCTAGTCCAGTCTCAAATCTCACCAGAGTACCATCAGGTAAGAATCACACTCCTGCCAGCTCCCTTGCCCTAAGCCATATTCCTTACCTCCAGAGTCTCCTTCAGGTCCTGCACCTCCTTGGCCAGAACAGCATGTTGTTGCTGGAGCTCTGCTTGCACGTGTTTTAGTGCCATCTCTTCCTTTTGCCACCTGCCAGAGACCTTATGTTAGATCACATTGGTCCTATACCCTGGGGACCTATCGCCACAGTAACCTGATAGGAACTCACTGAGTAGCCTGCTTCTCATTGCTCTGGGTAAGCTGGCAGAGCAACTCATCCTTCATGGCCAGGTCCTGGGTACAGTGGGCATGCTGACTCTGTAGCTCTTTTAGCTGACTCTGCATGCTGGCCAGAATCTGTAGCTGAGCCCGGAGATCTAAAAACCAAAAGTATCCTAATGACACCATGTGGTCACCAGGCCAGAACCTCCCCACACTTCTGCTCCAAACAAGACTCTAGCGCCACAACCCAAGCCTTAGCAGGGCAAAACTACTTGCATGCATGCACACACACCTGTTGCTAGGCGACTGTTTTCCAACTCCAGTTGTTCTATTTGGCCTTTGCAGTTCTCTAACTGGGAAGAGACTTGTTCCAGCTCCCTGGAAATCTAGGAAGAAAAAATAGTTTTCCTCCCACAGTTCCTCTTGAATCAAGAGTCCCAGCACTTGGTCTAGCTTCTCTTTCTTGACAGAACAGCAAACCACCTGTTCCTGGGCAGCAACACTACAGTAAAAAAGACTGATCCTCAGGAAAAAGTAGAAACAGAAGACAAATTGCTGAAGAAAATGCTGAAGGGCAAAGGAAATAACTAAGCCCAAGGCCATCTTACAGGGAAGGGACCTAGATGGTCTCCAAACCCACAGAGTAGGAAGAAGACAGGTCCAGGGTAAGAGGCCGCTCATTAGAAAGGCCTTCTGAATAGGAGGAGAGGAAATCAGACCTAAGCAGTTCCCACTCCTAGTTTGTACCTGCTGCTTCTCCTCAACTGCAGCATCACGTTCTTGTAGGGTCTGCCGGCTCTTGGATGTGAGTTTCTCTGTGAGTTCTCGAGACCGGCTCAGTAAAGCTGTCCATGTTATATACTACCAGGGGAAGCAAACAGATTGATCAGTCAAGCACTCTTGAAGCAAGGTTCCTAACAGGGCTGGCTGTAACGGAGTGGTATGATGGCCCCAAATACTCACATCCAGTTGCATGGATATCCAGTCTTGTTGCAAGATTGAAGTAAGACTTGCTGTCTCCTGAGCCAACTCTTCTTGCTCAGTATGAAGACCTACCTACACAAGAAGGAGTGCCCATGGAGGAGCCCCTTCCTCTGAACACAACAAAGTAGGGGTACAGGACCATCGTCCCGTGTATCAGCATGGATCTTAATAAAGAAAATGCCCTCAAATTACCAGTTGGGTCTGGGTCTCCTTCAAGAGTCCTCTGAATTCCCTCATGGATGCCAGGTCCTGTTGCAACTGGCTGATGCGCTGACTGGCATGTGCACAGAAAGCCTCTAGCACTGCCTCTGCCTGTTTAGGGAAGAGGTTGCAAGGACATGGTGGGCAGAGGAAGGAAACAGCACAAAAAGCCATACTATCTGCCACATCAGTAGTTTAACTCATTATTCCCCAGGGCAGGCAATTCTTAGGCCACCCATCTCTGTCTCACGTAAATTTGTGTTCCTGCAGGAACTCTGAAGAAGAGATCTCCCACATCCAGGAACAAAAGCATGACACCTTACCGCATCCTTGCCTCTGAGGGCCATTTCCTCTCTGTGCTTTGCCTCCTCCCTTTCTGTGTTGAGGCTCTGGAGCCTTGTCCTCAATTTTTTCAACACATCAAAACAGCAGGAGACTAAGGTTTCTGTGCGCCGAGACTACAAGATAAGAATCAGATGCTGTGTCTGGTTCCTTCTTTTGCCTTTCAGTCCCACCAGAGGCCTCTGCCTTCATCTTCATGCTGCTTACCTCCTGACTCACAGTAGTTTTATCTTCCTCTAAGTGCGACAGAGATAGGTAAAGCAAGGATATCAGCTCCTTAGAGACCAGCACCCATGACTGCTGTAGAGGGAAAGATGGTTAGGCTAGATCAAATAAAGTCACTAAGCGGAAATAAGAACACTGGTGAGGAAAGCCACTAACCCAAATTTTAAGCTCCAATAAGGAGATATTCTTAATGGTTTGGAGACCTCCCTCCCTTCACTACCACGGCTGAGTACCACCATCTGCTAACTACCCAGGATTCTCCATTCTTGATTTTCACAGGAGACCCAGTAGTGGTATAAGGTCAATCAATATTTACCATGACATTTCTGGTCTGCTGCAAAGTCTGTTCAATCTCTCGGCTCCCTCGAAGATGCTGCAGTTTCTTACTTATCTAGGCAGAGAAACAGAGTTGTTCCTTTTGCATAGGTAGCACGCACCACCAGTACATCATTTCCCCTCCAACTCACCGAGATACAGGAGCCTTTCCTATTAAAAGCAGGAGCAAGGCTCACAGCTTGATGAAGCCAAGTCAGAAAAAAATCCAGAGCTAGGTAAAATTTTTCTTTTTCAATGACCTTTTTCTAATTATAAGGATAGTGCTTATTGTAAATTTTTGAAATACACAAGTGAATAAAATGGAAAAAGAAATCATTACTAATTTCACCACCTAGAGCAGTGATTTTTAACCAACAGTATAGCACCTATTTCAAGAGATTCCAACATATCTCCACACCAGAGATTTTGCCATAGGAATCTGCTGTAACTGATGGGGTGGGGGATGGGGGG